GGAGTTATAAGGGGCTAGAATCCTTTGAGATTATGTCTGTGTCAGGGAAATCTGAAAAAAAAAAAAAAAAAAAAAAAAATTTTTTTTTAAAAATTGGGGGTTTTTTTTTTTTTTAATTTTAAAGGTGGGCATTTGCCCACCCTAACTTATTTTGGGATCCACCCTTACTGGCAAGAACAAGAGCTGATTAGGAGTATCTACAAATGACTCCTCTTAAACATTCCAAATAATGCTTCATTGAATTATGAAGCATAATTGCATTGTCTTTATTACATGTTCCATCTATGATACATCCCTTTTTACCACTCTATAGACTCATCACAAAAATAGTCACACTATCCATTTGCTCCCTAAGGTCAGAAAACATAGTCTCATATAGATCTGACGATTCGAGCACTTTGCTTACTACTACTGGGATGGATGGGTAATCGAGGCCTACTAGGTCATGCTTTCTCCTCATCACATTCCTTCTAAAATCTCTCTATTTTTTGCTTGGTGAGAAAAAATGGGAAAAGTTGCTCCTCACTATACTCGCCTAACACACCAGCAATGACATAAAGGGAATAGAAAATAGAAGGATAACCTAAACCAATAGAAGTAGAGCCCCTAATGATATACATTAAAGAATAAAATATTAACATCCCCACATCAATCAAGTGACCCAACTAAATTTCATAATTCAAAATTTCTCTATCCCGAGTCACCTAACTAATATTTTTTCTTGACGGGAATCTAACATACATGAAGTAATGACAAGCCTTGAACAATTGAGTAAAACACGAAGAAGGGAAATTAATAACTTTTTTATCTCTCTTTCCATACTGCTCCACTCCTAGGATTAGCTAACACTCTTAAAAGCTCCTAGGGGTCTACAAGTGCATTACTAAATAAAAAATAATCATCAAAATCTATGTCTATTAGTTTATAGATCATATTAATACTAAAGGGATCAAAAGGTACCCACTTACCCCTTCTAAAACACATTATTTTGGGCTTCTTTAGCATTCATAATGAACTCTCTCATAATGTCACAAACAAGCACTGGGTTCCTCACACAAGGTCTATCATCCCCTACTCACGGTAATGGACATGATCGTAGTTCTAGGATTTAGGAATTTTCTCTAAGGAATTAACTGTTTGCAAACAAACAGTTGAGAAAATATCTCAACCTTAGCGAATATGAATCTCCTCCTAGCAAAGGAAGAGGAAGCCCTCTTCATAGTAGCTTGAACTTTAGGGGCCATTAGAAAAATTTGAGAAGTATAAGAAAAACACAAAATAACTATATAAAGGGAAAAGAAAAACTTAAGCTAAATAAAAATACTGAAAACCAACCCTTCTTATTTATAGAACTTGACCAGTATTGCAATGTTGCAAAGGGTAATGCTACGGTGTTAGGAAGAGATAAATGACAAATGATTAAATTGATAATGGTACCGGATGTGAAATAATGTGTGACCTAGTGATGTAGGTGTTAGAAAATGAAATGATAGCTTTTTGAATACAGGATCATCATAACATTTGATAGTACAAACACTATGGTGTTAGGTAAAGACTATCATTGCAACACTATAACTAACTATTATGGTTTTTTGACCTATTATTATGGTTTTAAGAGTAGTGTTGTGGTGCATAATAAAAAATTATAATAAAAAAGTTAAGTACATACCATGATGCTGAATATAATGTCCCATCACTTTAGAAATTATAGACCTAATGCTGTTGTGCTACAAGAGTGAGCATAGAAGCATTTATAAGAGCAAAGTAGTGATGCAATGCTTAATCGAGCAGTGATGTGGCATTATACCCCCTAACATTCTTTTGAGACTGTAGTGTTGTTAGGTTAGATTTAGAAGCCGTAGTGTTTAACAAGCTAACATGTAATGCTCTAAGTTCTAATGCTGTGATGCTAATTCAATTTCAACATTTCATAAAAAATGCTTAAAAAATATTATTTAATATTTATTCAAGAGCCATAATAAGTAAACTCATAAATAATACATACACGACAATTTTCACAAAAACAAAGAACAAAAACATCGCACATCAACAACAAATCTGATATTTAACATCAATAGAATTAGTTTGCCTCCCAAATAATCCTAAGTTTACATAGACATTATTGTCTCTATGCCAACCAAAATTTAGATGAATAAGAATTACAGAACATGCCAATCTATACTTTTTTCGAGTTAGAAAATCTTTTTATAAAAATGTTTACTAGGGCTTAGCATGGTGTCACGGTCACTAGTTAGAAGATCTATTTCATAAGAATATTCATAGGCCGATAGCTTTTTTACTTAACGGTTTTGAAATCAAAACATTTGAAAAAATCAATATAAAATTTAAATATAAGAGACATTTATAAAATAAATCGCCCATTAATTGATTTGGGCTCTTCCCATAATACATGGGTTAATAACTTTATTACTTAAGAGTTTTACAATTAAAAATATTTGAAAAAATCAATATAAAAATTTAAATATTAGGGATCTTTATAAAGTAAATATCTCATTACACCACCTCTAAAAATATTCATAAGTAAATCTCCCATTGCTCTTCGGTGTCTGGATTTATTCGGACACCAATCCAACGCATCATTATCACCAACTGGTGTGTACCGTCACCGGAACCGGAAGTAATAATTCGCCCCGCCGCGGCCGCGGCATTTCGAACTTTCTAACGACGTCGCTCTCGCACGTCAGCGACTACCGTTTGGGTATTTTTTAGAAGGATAAGGGCTGAAATCCAGCTCTTAGCCCATTAGATTCTTTAATTTGTTTTCACTGTATTTGCTTTAGAGTTCGAGCATAACACGTCGCCGCGTTACTGCCGCCTTTCTATCTCATGGTTTTTTCATCCGCTTGCCGTTCTCTGCTCCGGCACCGACAAATTGCCACCTCCTACCTCTCATGCTGTCGTAGGTCGATCTGCACTTCCGCGCCCACTGAGGAGAGGATAGAAGCTGCCGGCTATCATGTCAGCGGCGGCCCTTCCTTCATGCGCGGGACCGTATTCTGGGAGCCCGACAGACCTCTCACCATCGAAGAGTTCCACATGCCTCGGCCGAAGGCAGGGGAGCTCCTCATCAAGACCAAGGGTCTAATCCCTTTTCCACCTCCACCGTCTTTTTGTTATGATTGCTCTGTTTTAATGAAATGTTTGACTCGAAATTAGTTTCAATGTTTGGTTAAAATTGTGCCTTTGAATCCGCTTTTACACTTATTTTTCTATAGTTTACTTATTTTATACATGATTGTCCGATACAACTTCAATTTAATTGCATCCAAATTAGTTGACTTTACTGTAGTTGATCTGGTGAGTGCTCCGATTTTGAGATAACCATTTTCCTAGTTTGAAGTTGAAGAGATCGTGTATCCTTTGGTGAATCCTCGACATTGATGAATTTTTTTGTCCTGATTAGCAACTCGACCATTGCCTTTGGCCCTTTGGAGGATTTTTTTTGCAACTGCAAATTTAAAGATATCTTCATTAAGTTCATGCTCGAGAACCACTTTAGAAATAGTAGGATCAAGATTATGTACCTTAAATCTCAAGTGAATCTGGTCACGTATGACTACAAGGATTTTCCTTTATTTGTTTAATGATAAGAATGATTTAGTAAGTTCACAACTTCTACAAGATAGAGAAGTGTGCTGGTAGTTTCTTCTTGAATTCCTCAAAGGAACGGATGCATTCATGAATTTCTCAAAGGAACTGTTGCATTCTGGACCTAATTTTGAGAGTCACTTATGGACAGCATCCTTGAGGGAGGTTTGTAGTGCTCAATAATTGATTTAAATAGACACTGCATGAAGCGCCAAAATGGCTTCAAATCTCATTAAGTGTTTAGCAGGGTCTGCTATTCCTTTATAGCTATCGTGTTGAGGAATATGAAATTTTTAGGGGAAAGACTTCATTGAGAATCTCTAGTATGAATGTAAAATGCAGTTGAGGATTGAAGTATTAACCTTGACCAAAGCTCCTTAATCTTGAAGGTTCTTCAAAGGAGGATCCATTTTCTTCTTTTCTTGGCGTTCTTTGTGGATCAACGAACCTTAGGTGGTGTATCAATCTTGGTCACCCCTTGTACTAGAATTTTTGCTGACAATGACATAGATCTCCCTTTTGTAACTTACAAAAGGCAATTGAGTCATAGTCATATGTACTAGATTTGATTACTTTGTTTGGATAGAAGAAATCTGCTCTTGAGTTGCATAGCTTATGAAATGGTGGACATTCTTCTCATATCCAATCTCTCTTTTCCACCACCTTGGCATTTTAATAAACGCACCAATAATAATAAATACCTTGGGGGATTAAAAGTTGAAAACATCTGCATAGGTTATGGAAGAAGAAAGTGAGCGAACATAAAAAACAATTTAGATGTGAATTCCTTACGAGTGCCTTTAGTGAAACAAAATACAAACTTAAATTCCTCTTATTTGAACTTTGTAAGCTTACATGAAATTTTATTATTACAGGATAACCTAATTTTGTAACAATGTCACGTATGACCATTGCTGGATAAAGGCTTTGAATGACCTAGACTCCCTTGCCTAGGCTTGGTGTTCTTGAAAGCTCAATGAATACTCAGTTTCTGTCTTGTTGTTCCACAGAGATAAAGTCCATGGCATGAGGGGAAACTAGCCTTTGGATAAATTAGCTGGTATAATACAGATAGGCTTGTATGTACCTCTGGATAAATTGGTATTTTGAGGTATAACTTAATTAAGAAAATTTTATTTTTATCTTATGAAAAATGGATTTTAGAGCATGAACCATAATTCTATAATTAAGCTTGTATGTACCTTCGGATAAATTAGCTGAGTATTTTAGTATCATAATACAGATATATTTCATCACACTCAAGTCTTGGTTATTTTTGGTCGGAAAGCTTCGGTTATTCTATCTCTTAGCATTTTTTGTCATTGGATTCTGATATTTCAATTAAAAGTTTGTTTATGCAGCTTGTGGAGTTTGTCACTCTGATCTTCACGTCTTGAAAGGTGAACTTCTATTTTCAAGCCCTTGCGTTTTGGGTCATGAAATAACTGGAGAAGTTGTTGAACATGGTGCCCATACGGATGTTGGCATAACAAAGAGGTTTTTGTGACGCAAGCAAATCTTTGGGTTTTGTTTCCTCTTAGTACTTGTTTTCTTGCTTCATCATGAAGTTATTTAATTTGATATGCTATGTCACTGATGACTTATTTTGATATCTTTTACTTTTTGAATGTACAGGTTCCCTATTGGAAGTCATGTGGTTGGAGCATTTATAATGCCTTGTGGCAATTGCTTCTTTTGTGTCAAAGTAGAACCTTTGGGATTTTATTCATTGATTTGTATTCATAACTTGCTAGTTGTAACTTCACATTCATCCCTTTGGCTTTTGTTCGAAGAACTGATTAGATGATCTGTTGTATAGGGCCAGGAAGACCTATGTGAGGCTTTCTTTGCCTATAATCGAGCAAAAGGAACACTTTACGATGGTCAAACCCGGCTATTTCTACGAAATAGTGGTATTTATCTTTACACTAACTTTATTCGTTGAATTTTATAATTTTCTGAAGTTCATCTTCAATTCAAAAAGATTCATTACAGCTGCAATTGCCAATCCAGGTACCAAGTGAAATGAATAAATTGCTAGTCTGAATTTCTAACATTGGAAATGTAAATCCAACACTACCTTTATGTGGTTCGTCCTGCAAATTGCATTGGTCCGAGTGTTTTCTGGATTGATATAAAGCAGAAGTGCTTGGTTTTTTCAGAGCATGTTTTTTGAATGCTTGGCTAATGTCAGGACACCTTTTTTTATTATTAAACTCAGAGTCCGATCAACAAGTCACTGCCAGGGCATTTGGATGAACAATTTTCATTGTTGGTGTGAATGCTCTATCGGGTCCTCAGACCAGAGTATTAAGAACTAAACTACTCTCTAAATGTATTATTACATGATTTTCAGAATTTCTTTCTTTTTTTATTTTTTTTCTTTAAAGATTAATAGCATTTTTTTTTGGCTTAAATAAAAGTCGCCTCACTTTTAAAATTATTTTGAATTCTCAAGTGTAATGCCAAAATCCGGAGGGGAGTTGATTCACCATTCTTAGTATTCTATAAGTGAATCTCTTCTGCTACCATAAACAGTTTCCTTATTAGTTTAGCTATAAAACTACCGAGATAAACCTATATACTGTTTTACCTCGGCACTAATATAAATTCTTATTTTAAGAGAACCTCTTTAATCACTCTAAGCTCCGCATACTTCTCTATACATTCATCAATAAGGTCAAAATTTATATCATTCATCTTAGTTTACTTGGATGCACTTATTTACTTGTTTTAAAGGTGTTAATTTAAATTTGCATTCAGTGTTATATTAATGGCATGGGAATATAATGTCCAAAAATATGATGAGCACTCAAAATTGAAAATTGTTCATTTAACTTAATCTTTATCTGCCTGTCTTTTAATCAGAATAAATCCCGTTATAGTTCATCAAGAGTGACCTTGGAAGCTCTCCTAACATAAGCCTTGGCTAATTGGTTAGACAGCTTCATAGGTGGATCAATGAGGATGCTCTGAAAAGGTGCCTTGCATTATCCAGATTAGGTTTAGTCACTAATTACTTGAAGTTTGCGTAAATTCATATGGATTTAAGCTATCTGGATCTTGGGCACCCTGCATTCTGACCTTTAATTGCAGTGCTTCCATATCTTTAATTAACCCTTCATCTTGAGTTAAATATTAAATTTACCAGTCCTCCGAATTGTCTATTTAAGGCATCAGCCACACATTAACCTTACAACAACAACATCAAGCCTTTATCCCACTACGTGGGGTCGGCTACATGAATCCTTTTTCTCCATTGTGTTCTATTAAAAGTCAAATTCTCATTTAAACCTAATAAAGAAAGGTCATTCCTAATATTTTCTAACCAAGTCTTTTTAGGTCTACCCCTACCTTTCTTAGCATAAGTCAAATCTAATACCTCTACTCTCCTAACCGGGTCATCGAAAGGCCGTCGTTTTATGTGACCAAACCATCTAAGGCGACTCTCTCTAATTTTATCTTCTACTGGAGCTACTCCAACCTTTTCACGTATATGCTCATTTCGTATCCTATCTCTAAGGGTAAAGCCACTCATCCACCTGAGCATTCTCATCTCTGCCACACTTAACTTAGTATTATGCTTCTCTTTTAATGGCCAACATCAGCCACACATTAACCTTGCCTAGATAAAATTGTATGTCAAGATCATAATCCTTTATTAATTTCAGTCATCTTTCATGTCTCAAATTTAATTCCTTCAAGTAAAAATATACTTTATACTCTTATGATTTGTGAATATTTCACATCTCACACCATATAAGTAATGTCTCAAAATCTATAAAACAAAGATAACTCTAGCTAAATCTAAGTCATGTGAACTTTCTGGAGGCATGTGCAATCACCCTTTTTATTTTGCATTAAAATACAACCTAACTCTTTTAATGAAGCATCGCTGTATAATTGGAATCCCTCAGTTCTAGATGAAATTGTTAGTACTCATGTCAATGTTAAACACTTCTTCAATCCCAAAAAACTTTGCTCACATTCATCAGTCCATTCAAATTTAACATCTTTTCGTGTTAACTTGGATAGAGGCAAAACAATTTGAGAAAAACCCTTTACAAATATTATGATAATCTGCTAATCCCAAAAAGCTCATAACTTCAGTCACATTGATTGGACTTGACAATTCTACAACTGCCTTCACTTTTTTTGGATCTACTAATTCACCTTTACTAGTAATAATGTGCCTCAAGAAACAATTTTTCTCAACCAAAACTCACATTTAAAAAATTTAGTAAATAATTTGTGTTGCCTCCATAATCCCAGAACAATTCACAAATGATATGCATTCTCTTCATCATTCTTAGAATAAATCAAGATATCATCAATAAAAATATTACAAATTGATCCATATAAGGCCTGAAAATTTTATTCATCATATCCATAAATACTGTGACGATATTTTTCAATTCAAATGACATAACAAAAATTCATAATGCCCATATCTGGTATAAAAAATTGTCTTCTCAATACCACTTTCTTTCACTCCAACTTAATGGTAACTAAATCTCAAATTAATTCTGGAAAATACAGAAGTACCCATTAGCTGATCAAATAAATCATCAATCATAGGAAGAGGATATTTGTTCTTAATGATCATCTTCTTCAACTCCATGTAATCAATATAGAGCCTCATTGACCATTCTTCTTAACAAACAACATTGGTGCACTTCAAGGTGATATACTAGTATGAAGAGTCCTTTTTCAATCAGTTCTGATAAATTACTTTTTATTTCTTGTAACTCTTTGGTTGCTATTCTGTAAGGGCTTTTTATAATTGGGTTTATTCCTAGTTAAATATTTATTGTAAACTCTACTTCGCTCTCTAGAGGAAAACTATCCAACTCCGAAAAAATATCCATAAATTCATTCACCACAAGAATATAATTTATATCATCCATTACTTTTTTGTTTGCTTCTAATTTTGTCAAGAAAATCAATTCACCAGCTCTCATACTTTTTGTTTACCTGACTAGAAGTAATCAAAGATGAACTTATTTCTTTCTCATACTGAAAATATAATAACTCAACTCCAGGCAAATCAAATCTAGCTCTTTTCATCCAACATTCAATAGTAGCAAAATATTTGACCAACCAATTTATATCTAGAATTACTTCAAGCTCCATTAAAGGTCGTACAATTAAATTGATTGGAATTCCCTACTGGCTATTAGAAGATTAACTGAATATGAAGCACTGACAAATAAATTATCTCCAACAGGTAATAAAATATTTAGACCATAAGTAAAATAATTGGTTTTAAGTATAATTTGTCATGGAATAACTCAAATATAAAAGAGTGCCATACACCAAAAAAAAAAAAAAACTCTAACATTTAAGTATGAAATAATGATTATACATGTCACCACTCCTTAAGATTCCTTAGCTTCTTGAGACATTAAAAATGGATTTGCTCAATTGTGACTTAGCACCTCTATAATGCTTTGTCTTTTGAACACCTTTCAGTTCTCTGGCTCCCTAAATGTCTTTCAGACAATGTCTCTTGATATGACCTGGCTCCCACACAAATAACACTTGAATTCAGTTGACATTTCCCGGAATGCGACTTTGTACAACTTGTGTAGGCTTGTATCAAATGGGACCCCTACTTGCTGCTGATGTGCACCTTGATGAAATTTCTGCATTTTAAATTGATCATCTTTGATATCAAATAGCCTCTTCTTTCTCCTAGTCTCCCCATATCATGCTCACGAATTCTAGCACTTTCAACTAGATTAGCAAAATCTTTAATGCATAGAGGAATTAGAGGCTGTCTCAATGAATCTCTGAGCCATTTTAGAAATTTGTAATATTTCTTAGGAGTAATGATAGGCTATGGAGCATATCTTGACAAGGATGTAAAATATGCCTCATTTTGAATAACAGTTTTGGCTCCTTGCATAAATTCTCATGCCTTTCCTGCTTTGCTGAAGGAGGAACATATCACTCCCCGAAGTAGATAAGAGAAGGGTTGTAGCGTTCATGAGAGACACCATAGTTTTTACGTGGAAACCCCCTGAAAAGGCCGAAAAACTATGGGGTCTGGCCCATTTTGAATGAATTCACTAGTATTTGCAGTCAATTATAAATGAGGCCCATCCTTGGGAGAAGGCCTTGTCTTGATGTCACAACTGTACATCACATAGAGCACATTAAATGGTGGGAGTTACAATAATCAACATAGGCATGTTTATTTGGTCGGCAGGATCATAATCGATAGGATAGAGGTCGAAAAGACCGTAGTAGGAGATAGAGGTCGGAAGGACCGTAGTCAGCAGGAGATAGGGGTCAGAAAGACCGTTGTCTGGCAAGGGATGTCAGAAGGACCGTAGTCTGCAGAAGACCGGGGTCAGAAAAATCGTTGTCTGTTGATGGAGGCTGGAAGGACCGTAGTAGGCGATGGAGGTCGGAAGGACCATAGTCGTTAGGAGACAGGGGTCAGAAAGACCGTTGTTTGGCGATGGACGTAGGAAGGACTGTAGTAGGCGACGGAGGTTAGAAGGGCCATAGTCAGTAGGAGACAGGAGTCAGAAAGACCGTATTAGTTGAGCGATACTCTGGTAGAACTCTGGGTGTCAGGTGGTGGCCTAGCAGATGTCCGGATCACTACTATCCGAGCCTCAGGTGGTGGTCCGGTAGAAGTCCGGGCCTCAGGTGGTGGTCCGGTAGAAGTTCGGGCATCAAGTGGTGGTCTGGCTAAAGTTCTGGCCTCAGGTGGTAGTCCGACAGAAGTTCAGACATCAGGTGGTGGTCCGACCGAACTCTGGGCCTCAGGTGGTGGTCCGGCAGAAGTTCGGGCCTCAGGTAGTGATCCGATAGAAGTCTATACCTCAGGTGGTGGTCCGACAGAACTCCGGGAGTCAGGTTGTGGCCAGACAGAAGTCCGGGCCTCAGGTGGTGGTCCGGCAGAAGTCCGGGCCTTAGATGATGATTTGGTAGAACTCTGGGCTTCAGGTGGTGGCCCGACAGAAGTCTGGGCTTCAGGTGGTGGTCCGACGGAACTTAGGGCCTCAAGTGGTGGTCTAGCGTAACTCCAGGCGGTGGTCGAGGAGGAGGCAAGAGCGATCTATGATTTCTCTCTTGATTGGAGCCCCTTTTCAAGAGAAAGGAGTGTTCTATTTATAGATTTCCTAGAGTGGCATAACCCGTAAATAGGAGGAAGATCAAGGGTAAATGGGGAGTGGTTAGGATGGACGGCTAATGTTGAATCCTTTGATCGTGGACCGTGCATTAGACATTTGAAGGTCTTAATGATGTCAGAATTCACTGATTTTGAGCTCATTGGATTCATCTCGTCGAGCCGCTTGATTCGACTATAAGCATGTCACGTTTGGAAAACATTTGGTAATCCAAATTGTCATTTGAACCTTCCAACAACGCTTCGGGTTCTCCATTCAGACCCATTTGGGCTCGGATTGAATCAAATTTGGTGTCGTTGGGTTCGTATTCTCGAGACGTTCAGTTCGACTGTAAGTTTGCTGAAATTGGAGTTTGGATGGCCCCAATTTTAATTTCAAAAGTTTCCACTTGATTTTTTCTCGAGATCCGTGCCCGATTAAGATGTTTTTTGAGGATCTATCAAAAATATTTTTATATTATGTCATTTTCATCAAATATAGGGTAACCACGTAGGATTTCAATCACCATGATTTCATCAATATGAAACATATGAAACCACTCCCTTTCCAAACGGGCTTTGGATGGAATCTAGAAAGGAACATGAAAATTTGAGCCTCCTCTCTCTTCCTCCTTTCTTTTGTAGTACTATAGACAAGGAATGATGTTTTGGATGCTTATAATCAAATCATGAATATTTTTACCTCCTTTGTCATCAATGATATAGTTATATGTATTTTAATGATTTTAAATAAGGAGTTAACTGTAGTAAGAAATTCATATTAGTTGATTCATGTATTTGTTTTGCTTATTGGTAATATAAGGTGAAGTTTGCTGGCTTCCTCTGTTATGTAGGTTTAGTAAGTTTTCCATCTAAAACAATAATGATATATGTTTTAAGTTACTGTTTTTTCTTAAATTATAATATCCTTTGCAAGTCATAGTTCACATTGTTGTGTAAAGCCCATCTTCTTTATCATCAACCCATATTAGGTTAAAGCCAATGGGGGAGGCTTGAGGACTACACATGCATATTAGCAGGCCATTGTTATGCCCCATTTCAAGCATTTTGAAAGCCTAACTCAAGGAAAGGATATCCCCCATTTCAAGGATTTTGAAAGCTTAACTCTCATTTGTTTGTCCATTTGGTCCATCTGACAAAAATCTTTTATAATCTGTTCTTTAGTTTTGAGTTGGTGGCCAGATTTGAGACATTATGTTAAACATGAGCGAATGTCCTACATTTTCAAAACACAGGTTCACATTTTTCTGCAAAACAGTCTTCAGAACGACTAACATTGACCAAAAATTTCAAAATATGCATTTAGAGCATCACATGAAATTGTCATGATGATTATTCCTTGTATTACAAATCATATATGTTTTAACATGTATATGATTTCTCATTGAAGACTGAATTAGGTTTCAGTTTAGCATAAGCACTTAGTGCCTAACAGAAATAATTTAAGGGATCAATGCTATATGCTTTTTCTTTTTATATAAAAGCTTGAGTTTGTTTTAATTAAGAGTTTATACATGGAATTTGGGATCGTTTTGTTAATATTCTGTTTTTACGGACCTTTATGCATATCAATTTCCCTACAGGTTTCATTTGTAAACTTTAGATCACTAGGTAGTTGCTGAAAGCAAGTCTTGTATGCTGAAACTTGTTGCTGAAAGCAAATTTTGTATGCTGAAATATGCAGAAATTATTCTAATTACCGAAACTAAATTTGCAATCCTAAATTATGAACGGATCTTTCTGTTGTTATTTAATTAGATTGTTTTTAACATGGGTTCTCTTTCATCACAGTTTTGGAATTTTAAGGCACGCATTAAGGACTGTATGTTTATAGGAAATTATTATGCTTACCCCAAAGTTCAACCGAAATCATTCTAAATTGTTTCTGTTTATTCAGGAAAGCCTGTGTACATGTACAGCATGGGTGGACTTGCTGAATACTGTGTCATTCCTGCAAATGCAGTTGCTACTCTGCCAAACTCACTACCATATACTGAATCTGCTATCTTAGGCTGTGCAGTTTTTACTGCGTATGGAGCTATGAGACATGCTGCTGAAATGCGTGCTGGTGATTCTATAGCAGTTATAGGAGTTGGTGGCATTGGAGCAAGGTGATAATCTGAACTCTTAACAGGACACAATAGAGATAAAGGATTCATGTAGCTGACTCCATGTACTGGGATAAAGGATTATTCTCAATATATATATTTGTGACTTTACAGCCCAAATTTGATCCATACAACATCATTGACCATTTCTGATTTTATAAAATTTATCTTTAAACCTTCATACACACAAAACTAGTGAGACATTTCTCTATTTTAACACTGCAACATCAACTCTAAAGTTGCATCCTCATTTATATCTTTATTTTATATAACAGGTTGAAGATGTTTAAACCTATCACATCTAGGCATTATCTTATCTTTTAATCCAATAAAATCACATATCATATAGTTGCTCTTTGTTTTACTATTCTAAGATCTCTACCTTCTAAGCATTTCCTTAGGATGTCTATTTTCTTAATTATTTCAATGGATGCCTCACCAATTTGAATTACATCCTATGCATAAAATATGCATCAAGACACCTCATTTTAAATATCTTTAGTAATCATCTCCGTAGTCAATATAGAATATATGGACTTCATTTTGATCTTTGATATAAATAATTGATAATTGGAAATCTTTGCCACTTCACTACTACTTTTGATACTAATAAGTATTTTATAGTGCCTATCTTTGATAATATCATTTCATCTTTAGCACGCACCTTTATGCATTAAATTTTACTCCGTCAATTCCTAAGCTATTCAATCATATGTATTCTTAAGATCATAAAAATAATATGATGATATTTTCTTTGTTCTATGTACTTCTTCATTGATTGTCTTAACATAAAATTATTTTAAAAATCTTCTTGGCTCCAAAATTAACATAATTTTTCTAAGCCTATCTTCATTTATTCACTCACATTGTTTTATTTTGTGACTAATAAATTTGATTTCTCTATGGTTAACTGAATCTTGAATATCTCATTTATTCTTAAATATTGATACAAATTATTTTCTTTCTAGTCATTTGACATTTTCTAATTTTTAAAATTATATTAAAAAACTAATCAAATTATTGCAATATTCCTTATAACTTGTTAAATGAACATAGAGCCTTCCATGCTTAATTTTTTATTAAGGCCAACTCCACTTTATATATTTATGTATTTATACATAATATACCTCATTATATTGTTTTTTATAATTTTCTAAATAAAATTTTTCCTTGAATCTCATTTAATAATTTCTCAAATTGTATTTTCATCATTTCTTGATATTTTCATATTTAACTAAAATATCATTATCTTCACTTTTAAAATGTCTAACTTGGTTAAGATTCCTGGGTCTCTCATCTTTTATTTTAGTTATTCTATATATCTCCTTTTTTTTTCTTCCTTAATATCAAGCTTTTGTTTTGCTTTGTATCCTCTTTGTGAGATTTATATGTTTTTTATAGTCATTATCAGCCTAAGCAGCATACAATCTTTGTCAAATTTTTAAAATGTTTTTTTTAAGTAATCACCCTTTGTACCTCCTCACTCCATTAAGTCTTCTTGTCAATGCACAATTTATTTCTAGGGTCTCTTAAACTTCTATAGTAATTTTTTTTTATATAGAACTAGTCATCTTATTCTGCCTCAAATTTGGCTCAACTAAAAATTGCCAATTTACCTCTCTTAGCACTATTATCTAGAAAGATAAACAATTTGTCGACTTTTAGTTTATGCTCCAATACAAGAAGTCACTTGTAACTTTTAACAATGCCATTGTTGAGTCCCAAATCTGCGTGAGAGAAGTGAAGGGTTGTGTTATGTAGTCAACAACCAACATAGAATTTGTTGCACAATCATGACATGAATCTAATAGCGAGAAGGGAAAGGACTCTGAAACTAAAAATTCTACTAACGCGTGACCGTATGAATTTATATTATTAAGTTAGCTGTCCAAGTTTTATATTACATGTTTTTGATATATTTGATTAGTTTTTTTAAGGATAGATAAATCTATATGTTTCCGTAGCTCAAATAGGATTTAATTTATTTGCTTTATACAGCGCTGCTTCATTTGAACTAAATTATATATTTTTCAGTTGTTTACAGATAGCACGAGCATTTGGTGCTACTGAGGTAATTGCAGTTGATGTACAAGATGAAAAACTGCACAATGCAATGACACTTGGAGCAACTCATACCATAAATGCTTCAAGGGATGATGTTGTTGAGAAGATCAAGGTACACAACTTCAAATTTCCAAAATTGCGCTATAGTTTTTTTGTATATTCTATTTTTGAGATGCATATTTTTTCTTTTATCAAAATATAGAGCTTGATTGTTTGTTACTACTATCACTATTTAAAAATAAAACGGGCATATCTAACTAGTTTGTGATTGGCGGAAGTGCTTAATCCCAAGATGATGTTGTTTGACATAATGGATTTATATGATGTAGAGGGATAGTGAGATCAATATTCTTCATGGATCTCTCTCTTTTGTGTCCATTTGACTTCTATGATCGAGCTCAATTTTCCTTTTGATGCATGCAAATTTCAATTTTTTTAGTTTTATTGTGATATGAATACTATATTTACTTTTTGTTTATGCCACCCTATGATGGAAGACAACCTATGTTCATGAGTAGGTGGTGCTTTGGACATGTCTTACTTTGGGTGTGCTAGCCTCTTTGGTGCCTTGGCTCTTGGGTTGATTTTGGTTTCTCAGTTTGGGCTTGGTTGTCTTGGGTTTAGCTGCCCCTTTTGGTGAGCTGTTGTGTTCTTCTTCTAAATTCAGCTCGTTATGTTTAGTGGAATGCCTTTTCAGCTCATTAATGGGATGCCCTGGTTCTTCCCCACCTCTGTTTGGCCTTCAGTTTCTCCTCCTGGCTCCTGTCCCGTGGCCGACTGTTCCTTTTCCCGTGGCTTCCCGTTTCTGTCCCCCGCGTGGTCCCTTCGGGTGCTACTCCTGGAGCTGTCTGTTTGCCTTTTGTCTCCCTATTTTTGGTTGGTTCGGCTGGAGGTGGTTGGGGCTGTTTGGCTTCCTCTTTTCACCTATATATATGGGATGTTTTGAAGCTTTTAGAGGTTGCTGTTTGGTGAGCAAAATTCTTTAAAAACCAGAGGGTTTCTTCTTGGGAAAGCTTGCGAGCTTGTTCCATTTCTCTTCTCCTCTCTTCGATTTCGTCTTGGTCTTCTTATCTACTTCTTCTCTCCACAAGTTTCGACTCTACTTGTATCTTTCTTCTCAAGCTATTAGAGGAGTTGGTTTGTCGGTTTGGTAGCATTTGCCGGAGGAGTTTTGTGGAGGATGTTGGCCCATAGTAGTTGTGGTGAACTCTTTGTTTGTATTTCCTAAAGCACTTACTTTATTTTACCTACTATTTCGTTGCATGTGAGGTGACCGTTAATCAGTTAGTCTGAGGGTAGCTTGTTTTATTTTTATTTTAATTTTCGTTTTGTCTAACTCTTGTTTGTTTGGAGGTTCGTTTGGTGTTGGCTTTCTAAATTTCTAATTGAGAAAAGTTTTACTAGCCCTTGTGTTCTCCCTTTTGGCTTTCCTATCTAGCTATCTGCATCAAGTTTGGTATCAAAGCCTAGGTTAGCATATCCTAGGTTGGTGTATGAGTTTTTCTCAAAAACAAAATGGCTAATCAAAACAATCAAGGGGATTGACAACAAATGATGCAACAGTTGGGGTGATTTACAACATCAAATAAACAACATGTCTAACACCCTTGGAAATTTGAATGTCAACAACGCTAATGTCCAAAATTTTGAAAATGAGTAAGAAATCCCTAGGAATCGAAATAGACATCATAGGAATTAGGATCACAGGATAAAAATTGATGTTCATGACTTTGAAAGAAAATTACAACCTGAACAATTCATCGGATGGTTAGGAAAAATGGATCAATTTTTTGAATGTAAAAAAATCCCTAATGACAGGAAAGTTAAATTTGCTAGCTTAAAACTCACTGGCCATGCTTTAACTTGGTGAAAGAACCTTCAAAATAATAGACTAAGGTGAGGAAAAGAAAAAATTCAAAACTGGGACATAATAAAAAAAATGAAAGGAAAATCTCTGCCTTCTGATCACTCACGAACCTCATTCCAAAAATTTAACAATCTTCATTAAGGAAATCAAACAGTTGAAGAATATACTGAAACCTTTTATAAACTCGAATCTCGAAACGATTTAGATGAATATGAGGAAAGAACTGTCACTAGATACATTAACGAATTAAAATGGACAATTCAAGATCAATTAAATTTGCACCATGTAATCAAACTCGACGAAGCTTATCGAATGACCTTAAAAATTGAAAAGCAACATCAACGAAGTTATAACAAGGCACCTAAAACTTATAAGCGACGACAAACTGGTGGGATTAAAATTCAATCTACACAACCTTCTGTGGGAACATCTATTGTGCGAACAAAAACATTTGAAACTCAAACTTTAGATAAAGGTAAAGGATTGATGAGACCTAAACCTACTGAACCACCCATGCTGATTGGACCATATTATAAATACGGGTTATATAGGCATCTTTTAGCTTCTTGTAGGAAAAACTACCCTCCTAGGACTAATTACATTGAAAATGATGAAGAATTAGAGGAAGAGGAAGAAGAAAATGAAACTCAACCCGAAAATGAAATTGAGTTAGAAAGGGTTGATGTAGAGGGCGACCAAGGTGATCAATTCTTAGTAATCTGATAAGTCCTAACTACTAAAATTGAAAATGGGGATAAATGGCTTAGGAAAAACATCTTTTAAACCATTTGTATTGTTGAATCTATGCACCTTAATGATTGATAGTGGTAGTTCTGTTAACTTTATCTCACAGTTGCCGGTAGATAAGCTTAAACTGAAATCAAAATCACTTGCCAAACCTTACAAAAATTTTTGGTTCAAAGGAGGTGAAGTTCCTATCACAAAGCAATGCACTGTTAATCTATAAATTAGAAGCTCTTATACGGATCAAGTTGTTTGTGATATTGTGCCTCTTGAAGTCTGTCATATCTTATTGGGTCGTCCTTGTTGACTTAAAAAAGAATGAAAATGAATAATTACGAAGCAGTTCACACTCTCAATCCGGCCCCACCTCACCAAACGACGTTGCTTTTCATCTCCATAACTTCCATTTGACAAATCACTCGATAAAAAGGAAGGGAGAATCGAAGATAGCAACTTACACTTGATGTTCGACTCTGATTCCATCGTTTGCTTCGGCTTCGTTTCTTCGCAGAGACCGCACAATTCACTTTCCCTTTTTATCGTCGCTGTTCGGCTTCAGTTCGCAGAGATCGCCCACGTCGCTTCTGCGGCTGCTTTGCTACCGTCCGACTTCGCCACTTCGCGGGAGGGGGAGAGAGCACACATTCGCTTCTTCGGCTCTCTCCTTACTGTTTGACTTTACTTCTCCGACTCCCCTTGCTGCCGTCCGACTTCATTGCATCGCAAAGGTGTAGAGAGCGCACAGGTTGCTTCTTCCACCCCGTTGTGGCTATTTAACTTCGCCTCCTCCGATTCCAGCTGTCCGAACTCCGACGCCTGACACCGAAACCATCCCCTTCTCGTGCGTGGCAAATCCTAACCCGATCAGGCTCTACCCGATCCCCTTCTCCCTCTTTCCCTCTATTTATTAAAATTATATATAT